CCAGGGCCATGTGGAATGCTCTGCTGAGCTCTACGTGGAGGAGCTGCGGCCATCTGCCACCTCCCAGATGTAAGTTAGGGGTGTCTGTAATCTGCATTCCCTCTGCTTGCTCCCCCTGGGATTTGGGGTACATTGGGCTTGTGCAAAGCCTGGGGTCAGGGATGGGCTGGGGACAGGGATGGGCTGGGGACACTGTGCTCCTGCCACTAGCATTTGCGGGCTCTTGCAGCTCCAAGTTGGAGAAGATGCCATCCATCCCGGAGGAGCCAGAGCAGGTGGAGATGGAGACAGAATGCTTTACCATGCCTGATTTCCTGAAACCACTGCACAACCTGGACGTGGTGGAGTCCAAGGAGGCTGTGCTGGAGTGCCAGGTGGCCGGGCTGCCCTACCCCTCCATCACCTGGTTCCACAATGGTTCCCGCATTGAAAGCACTGACGACCGCAAGATGATGCAGTGTAGGGCTCCATACCGCACTTCCCACCCCCTTGGGGTCCCTCCACCCGGGGTGAAAGAAGGGGGACACCCTGGGAGGAGGCATCTCCCCCCAGACCTTCACACCATGTGAGGCAGGGAGGGGAGCTCTGCACCACTTGGCTGGCAGGGTCTTACCAGCATCTCCCTGTCCCCTCCAGATAAGGATATCCATCGCCTGGTGTTCACATCTGTCAGCCACACTCACGCAGGTGTCTATAAAAGCGTGATTGCCAACAAAGTGGGGAAGGCCACATGCTACGCACACCTCTATGTCACCGGTGAGCAGCAGCAGGCACCACCTGCTGCCAACCTGCCAGGCTATGGCTGGGGGCTGGGGGTTGGTGGTCCTGTAGCAAGGTCTTAGGGTGACAGGATCACAGGGTAGTTCAGGTTGGAGGGAACCTCAGGAGGTCTCTAATCCAACCTAAAAGCAGGGACAAGGTGCAGTCCTCACCTTGCAGGGCCAGGATCCGTCCCTGGGTCCCATGTGGGAATTGCTGGCACCAATGGCCCCACAGAGGCTACAAGGCTGAGCCCCTGCTGGGGAACCAGTGTGGATTGCTGGACTCATCCGTCCCCTGCAGCCCTCTCCCTGAGGAGATGTAGCAGTGGCCATCCTCACATCCCTGCCTGTCTCCCCACACAGATGTGGTGCCAACCCCTCCGGATGGGCCCCCCACCGTGGCCTCAGTGACTGGCAGAGCCATCACACTGACCTGGAACAAGCCCAAGTGGCTGGACACTGCCATAGGTGAGGGGGCTGGGGATGGGCAGGGGATGGTCAATGCCATGGTGGGCCACATGGGCCAGCCCAATGCCGGGGGCTCTGCTCTGACCCTCTTCCCCTGCAGATCCCAAGTCAGTGACCTACACAGTGCAAATGCAAGTGCTGGGCACGATGCAGTGGCTGGTGCTGGTGGCTGGTGTGCAGGGCACCACCTACACGGTGCATGGGCTGACCAAGGGTGCCCAGTACCTCTTCCGTGTCATCACTGCCACCCCCAAGACCAACAGCAAGCCATCCCCACCTGTGGGACCTGTGCAGCTCCTGGACCGGGGTAAGAAGGGCAGTGTGGAGGGGATGGGTGGCTGGGGTGGAGGGGTCTCTGCCCCAGTGGGGTGGTGAGCTGCCCTGGGCTGGGTGACATGGGGTCCAGAGGGAGGAGGCCCCAGTCATCCTGGACAAGCCAGATGTGGTGTACGTGGTGGAAGGCCAGCCAGCCTCCATCACCATCACCATCAATCATGTGGAGGCCACTGTCACCTGGAAGAGGTAGGACATGGCAATGGGTATGTTGTCTGCCTCATGCCCAGTATCATCCCATGGGATGCATAAAGAGGGGCTCCTGCACCAGCTTCCTGTGCAGCCCGTGGTAGGTGTGGGTCCTTCCCTGAGGCTGGGCTGGACATGTGCCCAAAGGTGATGTCCAGAGCTATGAAGAACTGCATGGGGGAGAGGACGGAGTGTTGGGGGGGTGCTGTCTGTGTGGTGTTAAGGGTCAAGAGTCATTCAAGGGGCAGTACCAACAACGGGAGCTAAGCTGTTTGTGGGGGCTGCAGGGTGGGGGCTGCAGGGTGGGAGCAGGGGCTGTCTGAGGGTCGGAAAATGGCCATGGAGCTGTGGGGTGGGATCTATGGGGGGGGCAGGGGGGGGTGTGATGTGGCAGCTGCTGTGCCTGCAGGGGCAGGCAGGTGCTGGGGGAGCTGGAGGGCGTGTGCGAAGCAATGATGCCGGACGACGACCAGCACTGCCTGCAGCTGCTGTGTGTGGGGCACGGGGCTGTGGGGCCACTGACCTGCGAGGTGAGCAACCGCCACGGCACTGCCCGCTGCACCCTGCACCTCCACCTCGCAGGTAGGTGCCCTGCACCATGGGTGGCATCGCCCTTTGGTGCTCCAAGGGGTGGGCATTGCCCACAGGATGACACTGCCCCATGCTGCCCCATGCCCATGTGTCATATGTATGGCACGGCACTGCTCCTCAGTGCACCATACTTGTATGCCATGGAGTATGCTGCTCTGTAGGGTTGCAATGGGGTTGAGAACCCATGAACTAAGCATGCTTTCATACTGCTGCCTGTTGTCCTGTACCCATATCTGACTTGGGCAGAAACATCCCATGTGCTCCGTGACTGTGTGCATGAGGTGAGAGTGTCCCATGGTGTCCCTCAGCCATGTACCATGGGTGGCACTTCTGCAGGGTGTCCCGTACCTGTGTATAATGGGGTGGCAATGCCCCCCAGTGCCCTACAGCCAAGAGCCATAGGGGATACCTCCAGAGTGCCCCACAGAGGTGTCGTGGGTGGCACAGCCCACCTGTACCCCACATCAATATATAACGGGAGATGCAATACCACAAGTGCCCCATGCCCATGTGCCATGCATGACACTGCCCCATGGTGCCTCACACCAATGGGGAGCTGCTCCATGGGACTGCAGGCACATGCCATTGCTGGCCTGCCCCATAGTGTTCCGCTCCCATGCACATTGGGGCGGCACTGCCCTACAACACTCCATGCCACTATACTATGGGCTGGCACTTCCTTGCAGTGCCCCACAGCCTTATGCCCTGTGCCAGTGTGAGGGGGGTGGTACTGCCCTGTGGTGCCCCATGCTTCATCTCTTGGCAGAGGCACCACGCTTTGAGTCCATAATGGAGGACATCGATGCCCAGGAAGGGGAGACGCCACGCTTTGCTGTGGTGGTAGAGGGGAAACCACTGCCAGACATCATGTGGTACAAGGTGGGCTGGAATCCCTGTACCCCCTTCTTGACGTACAGACCCCCCAGACTGACACTGTCCACTGCCTCACCTGGGATGCTGCTTTGGGGGTTTGGGGTTGCGTTCACCCCCAGTGATGCAGGATGTGCCTCATGCCCCATCCATGGGGAAATGGTGGTGGGGAAGGGACAAGACCCCCCTGATGCTCCTGCCACCCCCAGGATGGGGAGCTGCTGGAGGAGAGCAGCCACCTGAGCTTCGTATACGAGGACAACGAGTGCTCCCTGGTGGTGCTGGGTGCTGCCGAGCCCGACAGCGGTGTCTACACCTGCACGGCCAAGAATCTGGCTGGGGAGGTGTCCTGCAAGGCAGAGCTGGTGGTGCGGGCAGGTACGGCTGGCCGGCCCCCCACCCCGGGGGGCAGAGCCTGGGTGCCTGGCTTGCCCCCCACCAGCGCCTTTCCTTCCCACAGCCCAGCCTGCTGCTGATGCCGCCATGGAGGAGGAGCTGCACAAGGCGCGACACCTGACTGACTATTATGATGTGCATGAGGAGATTGGGAGGTATGTGGCTGCTGGCATAGTGGGCAGTGGGGCGCCGTAGGGACAGGGGTGCTAGAGCCAAGCTGCACCGGCGGCTCTGGTCCTGGGATCTGAGCTCCATAGTACGCCACATACTGATGTGCTGGGGCTGCTCTCAGTGTTGATGGGTGCTCTGGTACCAGCTCAGGGTGGGGACCCAGTGTGGCTGGAGCAAAGCCAGGCCTGGAGTCTCTCCATGGGTGGTCCTGGAGAGCTTCCGGGGCTGCAGGCAGCTCCCTGAAGAGCGGGCACATGTGCCAGCTGCTTGGGGAATGGGAGGTCTTCTGCTCACACATCTTATACCTCATTGTCCCCATCACTGCATTTTAGGGGGGCCTTCTCCTACTTGCGGAGGGTGACGGAGAAGAGCAGCCGTCTGGACTTCGCTGCCAAGTTTGTCCCTGGGAGGACCAAGGCCAAGCAGTCAGCACGGCGGGAGCTGCACATCCTCTCACAGCTGGATCACGAGCGCATTGTCTTCTTTCACGATGCCTTCGAGAAGAAGAACGCTGTCATCATGGTCATGGAGCTGTATCCTCTGGGTGCTGCTCTGGGAACATGTGGCATGTGGGATGAGGGGAGGTTTTTGGGTGGGGGTGATGGGCAAAGGCAGTGCAGAGGAGCTGGCTGCTGGGAGGGTGCAGAGCACAGCGGGGCAAGGAGATTCTGTGCTCCTTGACTGGGGCCCAGCTGCGCTGAGGAAGAGCTGCTGGACAGGATGGCAAGGAAGCCCTCAGTGTGCGAGTCTGAGGTGGGTGAACCCTCTGGGGCCAAAGTGATAGGGGAAGGAGGGAGCCTGGGAATACCAGGATCTGTCCCAGCCCAGGGATGTGGAATGCTCATTATATCAGGCTACAAAGCGGGGTGCACAGGGCCAGCGTGGGTCTGACCCACGCTCAAAGGGTGGGCACGCTCTCCACTCCTTCTCTTGCAGGTCCGGTCCTACATGCGGCAGATCCTGGAGGGGCTCTGCTACCTGCACCAGCACATGGTCCTCCACCTGGACATCAAAGTGAGTGCAGAGGTCTCTGCCCCCCTCCTGCCCTGTGCCCACAGGGGCAGGCTCCTGCTGTGCTGTAGGGGGCTTGGTCCTGCTGATGGGGGACATCCCTTCCCTGGGGGGAGCCCCTGCCTCCTGCCAAGGTCCCCTCTGTCCTGCACTGTCTTATAGCCAGAAAACCTCCTGATGGCGGATTCGAGCAGCGAGCAGGTCCGGATCTGCGACTTTGGCAATGCACAGGAGCTAACACCCAAGGAGCCCCAGTACTGCAAATACGGCACCCCCGAGTTTGTGGGCCCCGAGATCGTCAACCAGAGCCCTGTCTCGAGCGTCACTGATGTCTGGTAAGGGTGGCCCCAGGTGGACAATATGCTTCCCACTATGCCAGGAGAGACTGAGTGCCCAAAGGGCTCGTGCTGTGCAGTAACCGCGCTCTCCTCTCCACAGGCCTGTGGGGGTCATCGCCTACCTCTGGTAAGTGTCCCGGTGGGTGACCATAGGAGGGACACCCTTTCCACCCCCTTGCCAGTTGCAGTGCCGGGGCTGTAGCCATGCACATCGCTCCTTGCAGACTCTGCCTCCTACCCCCTGCTCCTGCCTTTGCCCTCCTCATGGCACCAGGGCTGGGGGCCAGGATCCTGTCCTCAGTCCTCCATACTTGCCATGCTGTTCCCCACAGCCTAATGACAGTGTCCTCTCCTTGGCAGCCTGACAGGGATCTCCCCTTTCGTGGGGGAGAACGATAAGACAACGCTGATGAACATCCGCAACTACAATGTGGCCTTTGAGGAGAGGATGTTCCAGGGGCTCACCCGGGAAGCCAAGGGATTTGTCATCAAAGTGCTGGTCAATGACAGGCTGTGAGTAATGTGGGATCCCAGACCCTGCCCCTCTGGGACCCCTGTGCATCAGGATGCCCAAGGGCAGGCTGGCTGCACAGCCCTGATAGGGTGCAGCATGGGCAGCCAGACCCTGCTGCCCTTGCCCTGGCTGGCCAAAACTCTCCAGCCCGGGCAGTTCTCACACAGTGGTGTTGGTTCACAGGAGGCCCAATGCGGAGCAAACCCTGGAGCATCCCTGGTTCAAGGTGAGCCTGGGCAGGGAGGGACCCAATGGGGTTCCCCTGGGCTTGCTGCAGGCTCCGTGAGACACTGCTGTCCCCTCACCCCACAGACTCTGGCCAAGGGGAAGATCATCAGCACTGACCACCTAAAGCTCTTCCTCTCCCGTCGGAAATGGCAGGTGAAGGCAGGAGCTGGGGAGGGAGAGGGCAGCCCTGGCTGTGTGCTGGGCTGGAGGGGGTGATGTGCTCTGGGTAGGATGATGCCATGCCACCCGCCTGGGCCTGATTCACTCTCTCCACTGGCTGCAGCGCTCACAGATCAGCTACAAGTGCAACATGGTGCTGCGGCCAATCCCGGAGCTGCTGGAGGACACATCCAACCACCTCTCCATCGCTGTGCCCCGGCACCTCAAGGAGTCACCAGCACTGTCATCCTCCTCAGACTCGGATGACCTGGACGAGCTGCCCTTCATCCCCATGCCACACCAGGTGGAGTTCTCCGGCTCCCGCATGTCGCTCAATGAGATCCCCACAGATGACGAGGCCATTGGACCATCTGAGGGGGCATGGCTGGAGGAGGTCACACCAGAGGATGTGTCTGCAATGGAGTGGCAGAGCCAGGGCACAGGGAAGCCCACGGTGGGCCTGGGGAAGCGACCAAGGGGCACTGGCCCATGGCGGCCAAGTGCAGAAGTGGAGGTGCCTGGCTCCTCTGACGAAGAAGCCCCTGAAGCCCA